AATGATTAGAGCTTTGTGACATGGTGGAAGTAGCCATCAGAGGATGGGTACATGGTGGCCATAAAGGGATGGACATGGTCAGAAACAATGCTCAGGTAGGCCGTGGCATTTAAACGATGCCCAATTGGCACTAAGGGGCCTAAAGTGTGCCAGGAAAACATCCCCCACACCATTACACCACCACCACCAGCCTGCACAGTGGTAACAAGGCATGATGGTTCCATGTTCTCATTCTGTTTACGGCAAATTCTGACTCTAACATCTGAATGTCTCAACAGAAATCGAGACTCATCAGACCAGGCAACATTTTTCCAGTCTTCAACTGTTCAATTTTGGTGAGCTCTTGCAAATTGTAGCCTCTTTTTCCTATTTGTAGTGGAGATGAGTGGTACCCGGTGGAGTCTTCTGCTGTTGTAGCCCATCCGCCTCAAGGTTGTGCGTGTTGTGGCTTCACAAATGCTTTGCTGCATACCTCGGTTGTGACGAGTGGTTATTTCAGTCACTGTTGCCCTTCTATCAGCTCGAACCAGTCTGGCCATTCTCCTCTGACCTCTGGCATCAACAAGGCATTTCCGCCCACAGAACTGCCGCTCACTGGATGTTTTTTCTTTTTCGGACCATTCTCTGTAAACCCTAGAGATGGTTGTGCGTGAAAATCCCAGTAGATTAGCAGTTTCTGAAATACTCAGACCAGCCCTTCTGGCACCAACAATCATGCCACGTTCAAAGTCACTCAAAAATCAACTTTCTTCCCCATACTGATGCTCGGTTTGAACTGCAGGAGATTGTCTTGACCATGTCTACATGCCTAAATGCACTGAGTTGCCGCCATGTGATTGGCTGCTTAGAAATTAAGTGTTAACGAGCAGTTGGACAGGTGTACCTAATAAAGTGGCCGGTGAGTGTATATATATATGTTGGGATTATTGGGTCAGATTGAAAACTAAAAGTCTAAAACTAAAAGTTTTAAACGAAAACTAAAAGTCTAAATCTGAAACGAAAAGTCTAAGTCGAAAACTAAAAGTCTAAGTCAAAAATGAATTTGGTATTTAGGATTGGGCATTTGGTATTTAGGATTGGGTATTTAATCGTTTAGCCATTTAGGATATAGGATTGGGGATTTGGAGATTTAGGATTGGGAATTTGGGGATTTAGGATTGGAAATTTGGGGATTTAGGATTGGGCATTTGAGGATTGAGGATTGAGGAGTGTATGCAAATAAGGAGGCGTGGGCCAAATACTGGAGGCTGGGTTTGAAATGGCTGGTGCGCAGAGGCACCTTATGGACAGCAGAGGGAGCTCCAGTGCTAAGGAGCACACTGGCAGAGCGTCCTCTTCAGAGTGAAAGTTGTCCTGCTCTGCCATCCACGTTGGCTGCCCCATCAACATCTTTGTTGAGACAGGCTCGTCGTCAGACCGATAGCACTCCTTTCACTGGTGACTTTGTGTGTGAGGCCACAAAAATGTTACAATGCTGTCATTAAGTTGAAGTTATCACATTATAATGAACAGTCCTCACTCCAGCCCTGCTCACACGCTCTGTTTGGTTTCATTACAGTGTGCTCCTTAGCACTGGAGCTCCCTCTGCTGTCCATAAGGTGCCTCTGCGCACCAGCCATTTCAAACCCAGCCTCCAGTATTTGGCCCACGCCTCATTATTTGCACACACTCATCAATCCTCAAATGCCCAATCCTAAATCCCCAAATTCCCAATCCTAAATCCACAAATCCCAAATCTTAAATGGCTAAATGATTAAATGCCCAATCCTAAATACCAAATTCCCAATCCTAAATCCCTAAATGCCCAATCCTAAATGGCTAAATGACTAAATGCCCAATCCTAAATACAAAATGCCCTATCCTAAATATCAAATTCATGACTAAAGCCCAATTTATACTTCTGCGTCGAACTCACGCCGTAGCTGCGTCGTAGGCTGTGCGTAGCGCGCGTACCCTTCGGCGTACCCTGACGTGAACCTCTCCAAAAATGTAACAACGCATCAATTCTACGCGGACGCAAGCGCTGTGATTGGTCTGCTAGAACCCCTCCCTCGGGTTTCACATGCTCCCTCTGCATCAACTCGTCATATTAGAACGAATACCTAAACCTAAGAAAGACGTTCTTTTGATTCATAACTGACGTCCAATCTGTTTTTTTTAAACTGGGATTATAAGATATTAGCTTTGTTACTGGCTAAAAGACTTAAACGTGTTCTGGGTACAATAACAGACGAAACTCAGTCAGGTTTCATTCCGAAGAGGCATATTGCTACAGTAACAATAAACTTTTTTTTAGATTTGCTGGACTGTTAGAGATGAAAGTTTAATTTATTTATTTTAGATTTGTTATAAAGCCTTTGATTTTCTTGAACATGAATTTATTTTGCAATCCCTGTATACATTTGCCAAACTGTCCGAACGTTATACAAAAATGGAAACTGCTGAATTAATCTGAAATCTGGCACTTCTCCAGGGCTTCATGTGTTTATGCGCTTTATTTGTTCTTAATGGCTGCTCAACTCCTTACTACTTCCCTGTTGAATAGTCAATTAATATAGCAGATAAACACATTATTATAACCCAACTAGCTGATAATACCGACTTGCAGATCCCTAAAACGACTTGCAGATCCCTATCGCTTTTGCCACTATTGCCAAAAGTGTTCTCAAAAGCTTCTGGTCTATCTTTTAATTGAAATGTGAACTCCTTCTAATCCATTCCTGTACAATATTCCTGTGAGGTCTCAAGTTAATTATTTGGAATTACAATTTGTAAAGATGTCAATGCGAGAGGAAAATTGAACTTTGATCCAGTAATTACTAAAGCTAAGAAAAGTTAAATTCCTGGATCCAGCGAGACTTGTCTTTATGAGGAAGAGTTCTCCTCACCAAAGCGGAGGTGTTTCTATAGATTGACCTCCCCTGCTCTTTCTTTACATGTGGACAAGATGATTTGTGTAGAGGTTGATAGAATGCTTTTTGATTATTCAAACACAAGAGGACTTTACATCAAAAAATCTGTTGTCATAAATAGCTTTGAACATGGGGGTTTTAACTTTCTTGATTTTGCTTCTTTAAACAGTATTTTTAAGATCAATTGGTTGAGGGAGTTCTTGAATTATTCTGATTCTATATGGAATGATATCCCAGTTATATTTTTTATAAAGTTGGTGGTCTCCCCTTTCCTATGTAATTATAATATCTCTAAATTGCCCATCAAATTGTCAAATTTCCATAAGCAGGTGCTTTTGGCCTGGCACTTGATTTATAAACATAATTTTAGTCCCCACAGGTTTTATTTGGAATAACCATGATATCCGATATAAAAGTAAAATACTTTTCTTTTCAGATTGGTTTAATAATAATATTATTTTGGTTTCTCAACTTGGTCATTTGTTTTCTTATTCTGAATTCTTAACTATTGTATTACTGTCACCCCACGAGACTTTGCCAAAGTGATGATGTCATCGCCAGTGGAGCTGTTGCACTTTTATAAAACTCAGATGATTCTTTACTCTCTTCTTCCTCTTGGATACATCCTTAAGAAACTGCAATAGGGAAGATTTGCTTTTTATCTAGTCCCTCTCTCAGGAATAGAAAGATTAGACAATATTTCACAATTACTGTCCCTTCTGTAATATCTTAATTGGAGTAATTGTTTTAATGATATTCTTTGGAAGAAAGTGTGGTCTCTATCTATCCAACAAATATTTAATTTTTAATTGAATGACACTAATAAAGAGGTATCATTACATCGATTTTATTTATTTGGATTTTATAACTCTGACAAGAATCTAAAAGACAAGTATTTTCTTATAAATCTATTTATTTTTCTAGCCAGTTTTTTTTTGTACACAAGTGTACATTTTTGTCTATCAAACCTCTTTTTATTATTTTTCACAAAGAGCTGAAATGTTATTTGGGTACTATCTCTTCTTCCAGCAATGTCAAAGATTTAAAGTTCATTACGTTGTGCAAAAAGTATAAATTTTATGCTTTTTTATAATGAAAACAACAAAAGAAGGACTCAAGGTATCTCTTTCTCTCTCTTGAATTTAATTTATTTTAAATGATGTGTTACCCCTGGTTTATTTTACTGGCTTTTTGTCTACTGTTTATAATTCTTTTATTGTTGTTTAATTCTGTTTTGAGTTGTAACTGTATGTATTTGCGGTTATATATGTTCAATAAAATAAAAATAAAAATGATAGGAAATGAAATAATAAAGTACATTTTAAAATAAATTCAAATAGAAAACAGTTATTTTAAATTGTCATAATATTTAACAACATTACTGTTTTCTGTTTATTGTTGTTGTTGTATTTTTAAACGCAGTCTCATAAGAGACTTCTTTCAAAAACATTTAAAACCTACCAATCACAAACTTTTGTATGTATTTGTGTATAGCTTTGTTATATGCATTCATGCCACTGCTCTTTAAAAAGTTTTTGCGCACAGTAAATATCATATCTGCAATACTTACACTCTGTGGTACTTCTGCATGGCTCATGCGGTGACGATAGTAAACCACAGCAACAGCAGCAGTTGCAGCAAACATCAGAAGAACAACAGCAACACATATTCCTGCTACAGCTCCTGAAGACAGACCTGAATCTGGAACAGATATAGAGAAAGACATTATTATGAGAGAGCGACTGATAATCCATCCAGTGCTTACCAATATATTAAACTGATAATTACACCTTTATACTTTAGTCATCAGGTGTATGACTTCGTTTTAACTGATAAATAGTGGCTTCTTTTGTTTTTAGCAACTGCAGCTCAAAAAGCATCAGCACTTCGAGCTAAACTAGAAGCAGCAGCATTCACAGGAAAACTGGCTGATATTATGCATTTAGCATGTTAATAACATTAGTCAAAGTGTCACTGACTCAAAACTTACTTTTTTAAACAGTCCACAACCCAACACTTATTGGGTTGATGATTTTCAGATTCCCAAAGGAAAATACAAATCATACTCAATGACTCAATTATACTCACCAATGACAGAAACACTGAATCTTTTCAATCTAGTGATGCTGAAGCTGCTGTTGATGATGATGATCGGTAGTTTATATTCTCCAGAGTCTGTGTTTCTGGTGTTTGTGATGGTCAGAGATCCAGTCTGATGATCCAGCTTCAGTCTGTCTCTGAATCTCTCTTTACACTGAACATCTGTACAGATCTTACTCTGATCTACAGCGATTTCAGTGATGCGAATGTTATCAAAATACCAAGTCATTAAATAATTTGGGTGTTTTATAAAACCAGAATCTAAAGTGACAGATTCTCCCTCCCTCACTTCATATAGTTCAGCAGCAGAAACATCTGAAACACAAACCAACAGATGCAGGATGACGGATGAAGATGAAGGATCTTGTATTAACATTTTTTAAAAATATATAAACTGCATTTAAAGACTCATTAAATGACTCACCAGTGACGGAAACACTGAAGATCTTCTCACTGTCGCTGCTGCTGTAGATCTTCAGTGTATATTCTCCGGAGTGTGTGTGTGTGATGTTTGTGATGGTCAGAGATCCAGTCTGACGATCCAGCTTCAGTCTGTCTCTAAATCTCTCATCACCATCTTCACACTGAACATCTGTACAGATATTACTCAGATCTCCATTTATTTGTGCGATGCGAAGGCTGCTGAAGTACCATTTTATATCTTCTTGTTGGTTTGTTTTAACACCAGTGTTTAGAGTGACTGAATCTCCCTCCATCACTGACACTTCATCTGATCCAACACCAGACGCACCTGAGCAGAACATACAATAGTGCTGTGATTCTTTCCCTTACAGATCATAAATGTGAGTAGAGAAATATCTTTGTATTTCATCATTTTAAACATGCAAACAAACATCAGAAAAACACGGACTCACATTCTCTCATCAGACAAAGACACGAGTCTCATGAATGAACTTATCACAACCCACAATCCACATCCTGATTCATATTTTCACCTCCTTTGACCTGCACATATAGGCCTACAGCATTTATTAATCTTTCTTAATGTTAATTTCAACATTTACAAATATTTTATTAAAATCTTGTTAAAATTAGTAAATGCAATGTGAACTAACGTCTACTAACAATGAACAGCTGTATTTTTGATTAACTAAACTTAACAAATACAGTAACAAATGGATTGCTGGATTGCTCATGGTTATAGTTCCTGCTTGTTAGGATAATTATTACCTAATGCTAACTAATGAACATTATTGCTAAGTGTTACCAGAATTATTTCTCACCGCATTAACACTCAGATAAAACAGTGTCGTGTTTTCTACATTTTATAAATATATAAAGTCCTAACAACCCACGTAAATAACGTGTGCAAGGCAACATTTTTGCTTAAATTTGATGAATTTGGCAGAAGCTTTTAACCAGTGACTCGCATTACATCCAAGCTACACGCAAAATGTTTATTTTTTTAAAACGACGCATCGCGCCGCTGATCTGATCACGTTTCAAACTGCGTCAGCGTTGTTTTTTTATCGTTAGCAAGTGTTTCACCGAACATCGATTTCTTTGACAGTTAGGTTCTCTTTTCAGCCATGTTTTCTGCAATAGGCCTAAGCCTATAATCCAGCAATCATAATGCCGAATATGCGGTCTTTAGGTCACAGAATACGACGAACAAAAAAAGGTCTTACTGTGGTTGAGTAAAAACAATATCACTGATAGTACGTTAAAGAAAAGCTTCATTTTCTGATTCTGATTCATAAGTGTTGTTGTTCTGTACTGGCCGAATGCGAAAGTGAAAGTAAGTGTGGACGTCCTTCCCTAATTTGCATAGGCTAAGGCTTTCCGCCGTGTTCCGTTTGTAAAATAGACCTGTAGCCTAGTATAAATATAACTGTATGGCGATAGTAGACTAGCCTATATTACATGTCTTCTTCCTAACCCCAGTCTGGAGTTTATTACCTTAAAGAATTTGAAGACTGCTGTTTATTATTTTAACCCATTTAATCCCACCGGTCACAATAGTGACCGTAAACATTTTTTTTTAATTTCTAAGGATTTAAAAATGTTACTGAATGATCTATCAATGCATTTCCAGCAGATATTGAAATAATAAAGGGTATCAATGAAATATGTGCAGTGTCGCATGTTTGCTGTAAATTGTCACATGACCATCAGAGCTGTTTACTTCCTGTTTGCGCCAAGAGAAGAGGATGGCAGCAAGAAAGCTCCCAAAGAATAGATTAGTAAAGTATGTTAACATAAAGATAGGACATAGATTTTTGGTACACATCATGTTTAAGGTTTCTATTATTGATATATGCATTTGCAATTACTCAACTTTGTTAAATGTGGTCATAGAACTCACAAACATGTCACTGACAACAATAGTGACCGGTGGGATAACCCATTGTATCTACATGCTAATACACATAGGCTAACTGTTCTACCTTACTTTCTGCTGCGACCTAACTTTCTACCTAATTTTACACACACACACACACACACACTCACACACACACACACACACTCACACACACACACACACACACACACACACACACACACAAAGACTAGCTAGCTAGCTAACTAATTCTACCTAACTTTCCACACACACACGCAATTACAGGTAGGCACACACCCCCACACACACACACCCCAACCACCCAACACATACGCACACCACACAACCCCCACACACACACAACCCAACCACCCAACACATACGCACACCACACACCCCAAACGTGCGCGCGCACACACACACACACACACACACACACACTGCAGAGGTCAATTTTTATTATTATTTTTAGACTACATGTAATGTTACAGTATGTGAGAACAGTCTTGTGAAAATAAAATTCATACATTACATTTGGGCCCAGTTTCACAGACAGGTCTTAGATTAAGCCAGTATTAGGCCTTATAGTTAAACTAGGATATTCAAATAGCTTTTATAAAAATTACTGGTGTGCACCTGGTGTGAGACAAAACAATGGCACATAATATGTAACATTATGACCCACAAGGGGTTAATAATCAGGTGCAATGCGGTAGTGCAGCTTCAATCAACAGGCAAATTTTTTTATTCAAATAATTCAACATATAAAAAAAAAGAAAAAACAGACCTTAAATGCAAATACCCACAAAAAAAATGAAAATAAACAAATTATATAAAATATAATAAAAGACAACCCACAGATAGCCACGGGTTACCAATATTGTGAAGACAGAGTGGCATTCAAAATGCTCTCACCACAACAAAGCTCACAGCAATCAAAAAGTTATGCGTTTTAAAACTTAAGTGCTCTAGTGTAAAGTGGGTATTCCACAGTCTGCTCGGGAACCGACGCTCTTGAGCCAAATATGGTGCTTTCAGTGAGTAGTCGTGCTGTGGCTCTACGGCAGGAGAAAAATAAACTAAACCATTTTAAACTTCTTCTTTTTTTTAGCTGCTGTAGGCCTAATAAATATTTTACTAAAGCAAATGCAAACTCAGAAATTCTTTCTTTTTTTTGTCAGCTCCCATTTACTGCTATAGAGGTTTACCTAAAACTCAGGCTCAGAAAAAAAGACAACCTTGATCAGGAGTCCAGTTCTCTTCTGGCCAGCAAACAAACACTGTATGATTATGATTCAGACTGCATCACTAGTCAGATTGTGGACTGGTAGCATTCAGAACATTTCCTCCCGTTCCTTCTGCTTGAAGATCGGATTCATCACGCCGGTATGGAGATGAGCACTTGATGAAATGAAAGCTGTTACACCTTGTAAATAACTTACTGTCACTAGTATCTGAGATGCCAACCAAAGCAGGAAATATGAAGACCAGAAAGACAGGACCTAAAACAGAGAGAGGTACTTCAGTCAACAGTGACACAACTGATTTAGGAGAATAAATGACAGCCAGGGAAAGCTGTGCAAGACTTTGGACCAAGCATTTGTGTATGTTTATGTAATTTTTTTTCAACCTATTTGTTAATACTTTTGTTGAAAATGTCTTTGGAGTTGAATGCAATGTTTCATTAAAAGACAACACAGAAGACCAACATGGTCTCTCTCTGTCTATAACTGCTGACAGCTATCAGCCAGGAAAATGTTCAAGTCTGGTGTATTTAACTTTTCAAATCAGATTAGACCTTTTTTTAATGGGTACCGTATTTTATTGAACAGTAAAGTTTTTTTTTAGGTTCATTAAAAAGAAAATACAGTAGGAAACTCTTCACCTACAACACAAGATGTTTATTCAGGTCAAACCACATCTGAGGAAAACCACAGGTTGATTCAGACAGAAGTTGCAGTTGTAGAAGATGAGCTGCAAGAGCAACAATGTGAGATGGAAGATAGATCCATTTGTTTGGCTGAAGATATATGTTTTGGCTTAATTTCAGTTTTATTCTTCACATATGTTAATTATCAAGGTGATTACAACTTTTCATGATGTAATCATCTTTGTAACTTCATACATTGTGCTCTGGATACAATATAAAACTCTCAGACATAAGCCGTTGTAGCAACATTGAGATGTGCCTTAATTAGCTCAAATTATTTATAGGGAATTTTAATAATTAATCATGAAATATGATTAATATATTTGCATATTACAGTTATATTATCGAAATTGAAAACAGATCGATCGTATGTATGAATGGTAAATCATAACGAATTATAATTCCTCATTCATATATCAATGGTCTCATTACAGATCGATTATATGAGATAACTTTAAGGGAATTAATTAGTTATCAAACAATCGGTTTGTCCAGCAAACAGCCGTAAGATTAACTTGCCAACTTCTCAACAAAGTTATCCCTTTTTATAAACTCCAAGAAATCTCAATGTTCCGGCCGTGAACATTAATTTTCTCGTGTTTATAAAATTTACGTTACTGAAAGAAATCTTGGAAATCTCAGAAATCTTGGAGTAATCTTTGATGATCAGCTGACCTTCACAGACCACATTACAAAGACAGCTCGATCATGCAGGTTTGCTATGCACAACATCAGGAAGATCAGGCCTTTCCTAACTGAGCATGCAACACAACTTCTCGTCCAGGCCTTGGTCATTTCTAGGCTTGATTACTGCAATGCTCTTCTGGCTGGACTTCCATCATGTGCAACTAAACCTCTACAAATGATCCAGAATGCTGCAGCTCGTCTGGTCTTCCTTTCCTCTAAATCCTCGCTTGCCTGCCTTATGCTACTCCGAGCTATGGCTGAACTTTGTATTTTGAGCACTTCTTGCGTTGCTTTTGCCTCTTCACGATGACTCGCTTGGTTTAGTCCTCAGTTGTAAGTCGCTTTGGATAAAAGCGTCTGCTAAATGACTAAATGTAAATGTAAATGTGAAAGGTAACAACTTGTAAAGCTTTGTAGCTATGAGGTCATCATTTCATTGACTTGTAAATGAGCACTTCAGGATCAATCAAGAATATGGTTTTAATAATTGAAACTACGGATACAGAATTCTACATTTGAACACAGGATACATGTATGTACAGTTAAACAGTAAAACTAACGAGACAGACGAATAACAAACAGGAGTGAGAGAGAGAGAGAGGTTGCGAGAGAGAGAGATTGGGAGGGAGAGAGAGAGAGAGAGTAAGAAGATGAGAGATATTCTGGTTTGGCAAAATTCATCACAGACAGAACCTTTTGAGACAACAAGAATCACAGATCTTAAATAAGCATAAACGGATACTTGCACAGGTAAAGCTCTTGGGTGTGGCCGATGTGAAGAAAGCGTGTGTATCTCTGTCCTCGTGTCACGCATTCACGTGGTCTTTCAGAG